ACGCACGCCAGCTCAGCGGCCACGTGTGCCGCGCGGGTGCGGGGTCTGGCCGGCTGCACCTCACCTAGACCTGCGCGGGTGCCAGCCTCGGGCCTCCCGGGGCGGGCGGGCGGGACCTCTCCCGGAGGTGGGGGACAAGCGGGGCGGGCCGGGAGGGCACAGCGAGGCGGACCTGGGCGTAGGCAGCCTCCCCTGTGCGCTGGAAAGTCCACTCCACGCGCGCCTGCAGCGAGCGGGGCTCACACTCCAGGAAGGCGCTGCCGCCCTCCACGCCGAAGACCTTCCGCTCCAGCAGCGCCGGCCGGGGCGCGTCTTGGGAAAGGAGAACGCGGATTCAGCGGGGCGCGGAGGCGCGAGACCCCGCCAGGGAGGAGGACGCGGCAGATGGGGCGCTCACCCCTGGAGCAAAGCGTGCTGGGGTCGCCATTCCTTATGTCTTGCCGCCGGAACCGCCTGCGAGGACATGGGGACCTCGTGAGCCCTTCCCCCAGCCTCCGGGTGGGAAAAAGCCCTCCTTCCCCGGCGCCGCGCGCGAACTGACCCCACCCACCTCTTGGCGCTGGGCTGGAAGCGTGTACACTTGGCCCCATCCCAGGCGCAGTAGGGGTCCCGCGCCAAACAGCATTCTGCGCAGGCGCGGCCGTGCGCGGCACAGCGGTGCAAGGAGATCTGGGCCACTGAGCTCCGCGAGGCGACGTACAGCTGATGCTGCGGGGCAGGAAGGGCTCCCGGCTGACCAAGGGTGGCCCCTGCTGTGCCTCCCATCAGGCAGGGATCCCTTCCCCCATTTGACAGATGGAAACACTGAGGTCTTGCGCAAGTTACACAGTGCTTCTACTCAAAGCGAGGGCCGTGAACCACCAGGGGCAAGAGGGGCTGAGGTGGTTGGGGCGTCCCGATCACAAACTCAGACCCTCCCAGCGCCCGCCCTTTTGGTCACGTACCCTCTTGGAGGAGATCTGCATGCTGGTGACAGCGGCTGAGTGCTAGGAGAGAGCAAAGTGCTGAGATCAGAGCTTAGTGTGCAGGGAGCTGGGGCGGGCAGCTGGAGGGAGGCCTCACCTCAAACACGTGCAGCTCTTCCAGAAGCAGTCCCTCGGAACTCGGCTGGCTGCCCTTGGGGAGGGAGATCACCTTCAGCACCGTTCCCACGTCTGCGGGGAAGAGAAGGGGGCGTGGCCACTCGGTTCCCTGGCCGCAGGGCCCTGCGCGCTCAGCACGGTGGGTCGTGAAGGAGTGAAGAGCGTGGGTTGGAACAATCAGGGAAGCATCCAGAATGCGGGGCCACAGCCCAGGAGAAGGTGTGCAGAAAGCACTGGACAGGCAGCGAAACGAGCCAGAGTGGGGTCCTGGGTGCCACTGTGGGCGCTGACCTGTGCCGATGAAGAGGACGTCGTAGTGCCCGTCCGCAGCTGCTACGCGGTCGACCGCAATTTGAGTGAAGGTGTAGCCCGCACTCACTCGCACGAAGACAGGGCGCTCCCCGATGGGCAGGACCGGGTTGTACATGAGAGGATGGTTCCGGGCGAACTGGATGACGTCGTCGGGGAAGTCCTTGGTGGAGCTGAAGGTGCCAAAGGTCTTGCTGGGACACTAGAGAGGGCGCGGACGAAGGCAAGCCGGGATATAGGCAAGGGCAACGCGCAGTGTCGTCTGGGGACGTGGAATGAGGCCGGGGACAGAATGCTGCTCTGGAGATTTAGCCGTGCCTGGGGAGGCCCGGGCTGAGCCTCAGGCTAAGCACGGGAGCAAACCTCAGCTTTCTCGTGGTGACCCCTGTCGGAAGATGGTGACCCTCCCCTCCACGACAGAAGAATTTACCAAGAAGACCCCAGGCCAGCCTCCGTGCCTTTGAGGCTTTCAGGTGAGCTGTGGCAGGAGTCCCTCGGCTACATACCATGCCAGGCCGGGGGTAGGGCACACGGCCCTGGTAGGCCACCCACTGGTGTGTGGGCCCCTCCTTGTGTGCAAAGGGTCCCAGGAAGGCCCGGCGCACATCGTTCATGCCGTACACGCACACGGCAGAGCCCTGGAAGATGCCGCTGCGGTAACGACAAGAGCAGAGTGAGGCCGCAGAGAGCTCGGCTGAGCCGACCCAGGCTGCCCTCCCTCCTGCCCCTCACCTGGACGTGGAAAAGACGGCGTAGAGCAGCGGGTTCCGGGCGTCCCGCGTGGGCAGCAGGAACACGTCCTCTGCAGGGAAAGGCCCGGGCTGGGGGGAGCCGCAGCTCCTCCGGCCCCGGGGTGCCCCCGGGGTCTGTGCCCCCGCCCCCGCCTCCATCCCACCTTCCACCCAGGCACTCACGGAGCTGGTCGAAGTGAGTGTCGCCCTCCGCGCCAGGCACCGCGCATACCAGCCGTGCCTTCAGGAACGTTGTCCACTTGTTGACCAAGCTGCGCTGGCCACCCATGTCATTCTGCCGAGAGCACCCAGGGTGTGAGAGCAGGGTCCCATCGGGCAGAGGGCGGGACAAGGTGGCCAGGGAGTGGGCGGCCCAGTGAGTCCTCACCCGGCAGATCTGGCCAACCCGGGACACAGTGAGGCGCCCCAGCACGGGCGCCGCCTCCACCGCCAGCTCGTGGAAGAAGAAGTAGATTTTGTCGTCGTCCGGATTCTCACTCTCCGGGATCCAAAAGACCTTGACAAACTTGGGTTCTGGCCACAACAGGAGGTAGGACCGGTGGTTCGCGGCCTGTGCCCTCAGACCGGACCCACTGACAGCCTCCCCTCCCCGTGAGGCCTGCGGCTGCGCTAGGCAGTGTCGGACTGCTCAGGACCTGTTCCAGAGGATCAGAGCCTGAGAAGCAAGAAGCAGCCACGAGGGGGCAGCAGAGACCGAGGCTACCTGAGGCAGCAGGCCGGGAAGCCTGGCAGCCTCCAGTGCTGCCCTTCGCAGTTCCGCAGGCCGAGGCCTGGGAAGAAGAGAAGGCAGCATCTAGTTTCACCTTCACTCATAAATCTCCCCCTCCGCTCACACATTCCTGCGTCAAGTCCTCCTTGTGGGTGCCATGCATTAGTTCCAGAGGACAACTAGTTTTTGTCCTCTGAAATCCTCTTCTTGTTTTTTTTTTACAACTAGTTTTTGTCCTCTGAAATCCTCTTCTTGTTTTTTTTTTTGTGGGGTTTTTGGTGGGTTTTTTTTGCCTTTCTGAGACAGGGTCTCACCATGCAGTTCAGGCTGGCCCTGAGCTCAGTTGGTAGCCCAGGCTGGCCTGGAACTCGTAAGGAACCTCCTGCCTCAGCCTCCTGAGTGCTGCTGGGATTACAGGCGTGCGCCACCACAGCTGGCTTGAAATCCTCTTCTCTCAACTCTGTCGGCTGGCTGGTCTGTGCTTGGGGAGCTAACTCACACCTCTCAGCAAGGTGGCGTCCTTCCCCCAACCCCACGCCTTCCCTTCCCCTCTACTCTCTCATGAGCCCCATGGTCACTGGAATCTGTGTACTCAAAGACAGTATGGGCCGTACTTGCCTCGCCTGTCCCGTGACCCCAGTACCTGGCACGGGGCCTGACTACGGTAGCTACTTGGTGAGACCTCACCGTGACCACTGCACATTTACTTTACCCTTGCTTGGCACCTGCCCTGTGGGGTGAGGATGGCAGCCCCCTCCCACTGGCTCACCAGCCTCTCACCGTTGAGCCAGCGGGAATCGTGTGGCTCTGTTCGGAGACTCGGTCGTTGGCCCAGGCTGCGAAAGATGGTAAAGTCCCGGCCCATGAGGTCCGCCGCCACCCCTGAGTACAGCTCCTCCCCTGCAGATAGGGCAAAGGCTGCTCAGTCAAGGTGGGGCTCCCGGTGTGAGGGCCTGTGGAGCTCTGGGGGCGGTCTCTGGGAGTCAGTGAGCTATGGGGACCCCTGGTGCTCTGGGCCATTGGGATTGAGGTTCTAGAACCTCTCAGGGGTCGCAGTTTTGTGAGGTACTGGCTTGTGGACTCACCCACCAGCACGGAGGCCGCCCGATGCCTGGGGTCGTAAGGGCTCTTCCCCTTGCCGTCCTCAGCCCTTCTCGGTTCCATCCGGAGTATGGGTTCCTAAGAGACCAGAGTCACTGCAGCGTCCCCGCTTCCACCCTCCCGCCCAGCTCCTCGGCCCAATCTGGCCTTACCTCCAGCCGGTGGCCCACGTCCAGGAACGCGCAGACAGGGTGGAAGGCCCCCGTGCCGCAGGCCAGCACATGTGTGTGGTTGTAGGGGTGGAGCAGCTTCACAAAGTTCATGCACTCCGTCTAGCGAACAGGTCGCGTTGGGGCAGTGAGGCTTCCTCCGGGAGGGGGCCCGAGGGTCCCTGTCCACCATACCGTCCTCGCCTCTGTCTCTTTTCTGAAGCCACTCAGGCAAGGACCACATGGTCTGCTGGAACCCGAGTGCCCTCGCTGACAGCCCGACCCACCCACCCCCCTCACAGGGTGAGCACCTGGAGAAACACAGACCACGCAGCCCCCTGACTCGCAGGCCTTCCTGTACATGTCTGGGATTCAGCAGCAGATGCCAAAGTGCTCCGTGCAGAGCCCAGAGGAACCATGACAGATCAAAGGGGTGCGCAGGAGAGCACCTGTCTTGCGCGCTGCTCAGGGAGTAGCCCCCTGACTCGCAGGCCCCCAGAAGAACCCCGTGAGCCTGTGCCCTGACACCACCTCCGGGCCTCGGCCACCTCGACCTCCCCGCCCTCCTCCCAGCCACACAGGCAGGCCTCTGTCTGAGCTCTGCCCTGTGTCTGGGGCGCCTCCCTCGCCGGGGGGCTGGCACTCACCCCAATGTCCTTGCCTGCCCAGTTGCACTCTTCCCGCCACTCCACAGGGGCCGGCCAGGACAGCTGGGGGGCAGCGGAGAGCACAGATGGTGCACTTGGGACAGGCCCTGCCCCGCAGGTCCCTCCACTGGGGAGCCCATCCCTCTGGGGCTCTCAGGGCAGCTTGGAATGGGGTCCTAGGGCTCTTTCGTCAGGTAGCACTGCGGTTAGGGGTCCCTGGCACCTTCTTGGCCTGTTTGCTGATGTTGTCCAGGCTCAGGGAAGCCACATGGTTCTCAGCGCCCACGAACAGCCGTCCACGCTCCTCGTCCACCAGCAAGGCCTCGTAGCAACAGGTCCGCTCCAGCCTGAAGGTCCGGAGGCCGTGCCAGGCCTGGAGCTCTGCAGGCAGGGAACCACCGAGGCCTTGCCCGCCGTGGCCAGAGCCTCCCCAGGGCCTGGCCATCTCTCTACAGACCAAGGTCGGACGTGTGAACTGGCCCCCACACGTGGGGGTGTTGCGTGAGCTCGCGCAGAGGGAGGCAGGCCACCCAGGCGCGTGTGGGGAGCTGCAGGGTGGGTGGTGCAGCCCCCAGGAAGAGGGAAGTAGGCTGAGGAATGCGTGTTCCGACAAGCAGTATCTCTGGGCGGGCGCACTGGGAGGTCAGGCTTGTGGACACCAGGGTTCAGGTAGGGACAGCCCTCCCGAGGCTGCAAGTTCCTGCCCAGTCAGCCTGCCACCAACTAGCGCTCAACGAAACTGCCCACCCTAAGCGCTGCTGAGTAACCCCTCTGTGCAGGGGTGTGAGAAGGGTGCTCTCGGGGCCCCCAAGCTTTGACTTTCCTCTTGCCCTCGGCCTTCTTGGCGGAAGAGGAGGGGACAGAGGCAAGGTCTGTTGCTATGGGAACAGGAGGGGGCTTGCTGGGAAAGCATGTGGAGAATGTGGGCAGCCAGTTTAGGGGCTGAAGCCAGGACAGCCCCCCAACTCCGCAGGGGTCGGTGACAGGCACACACATAGGACAGCAACAAAGTCAGAGTCCCTGCACCCCGGGCCCCTCCCTTTCCTGCTCCTCGCGAGCCGGGCCCTCCTGCGTGCCAGGTGCACCTACCTTGAAAGGAGAGTCGAAGGCGTGGGGGGCTGGGGGCAGCACGCCCCAGCCCGGCTGCCCAGAGCAGGGCCAGGCCTGGGATCATGGCGGCGGCCTCAGCGCGCCCCATGCCGGCAGCTCGGGCGCTCGGGACTCAGCGGGTGTGTGTGGAGGAGCCTTGAGCCTCCCTGGACTCTGCCCCAGGATCCGGTAGAGAAGGAGTCGGCAGCAGAGAGGGCAGCGAGGGCGGAGGCTGGGGGGAGTCCCCAGGGATCAGATTACAGCCCCTGGGGAAAGAGGCTGGGGGGTCGCATTCCACTTCCGAGCCCTCCCCTCAGAGGGTGCCCCCCCCCCCCCACAATCACAGACACACCCACACTGGGCACACCCTCAGGTCACCCTGCACTGGCAGGCGCCCGCCCCACCACGTCACCCTCCCGTCACCTCCCCTCCGTGCACACTCACAGACAGTAATCACAAACACTGTGCCCACTTCATGCCCGCCTGGGGCTGGGGCTGGGATTCGGAGACCTGGACCAGGGCCCCACTCGGGTGTAGGCAGGATGCCCGTGAGGAGCGGGACTCTCGAGCCATCTCAGGGGGCGCCAAGTGCAAGAGTCAAGCAAGCCCACGGAGAGCGGGTGCCACAGGAGGGGTCAGGGCCGTGGACCTGCAGAGGCACTCTTGGGCGTGGCACCAAGGCTGTGGGTGCTGTGAGTGTGACCGTTTCTGAGGGTCGCTTTGCAGATGTGTGCACGTGTACAGTGTGTGTGTGGGTACGGCTGTGTACCTGTGTGTCCAAACATGGTGCGTTGTATTGGGCCTGTGTAGAGATGAGCTGTGTTTGCAAGTGTGTGTGTGTACAAGTGTGGTGCTGTGTGCACATGTGCATATGCGTGCACATGTCACACATTTGTGCACGTGCAAGTGCATATATGTGCAGACAATTTGTGTATCTCAGAGGGTGCTCAAGGGAGCAAATGCGGGCCGGGATGTAGCTCAGTGGTACAGTACCTGCCCAGCAAGCGTGAAGTCATGAGTTCGATTCCCGGTACCAAAAAAAAGGGAGCCAATGCATCACTTCCTAAGACCCCGAGGTGCTGTCTAGAGACCCAGGGCCCCCGGGGCTGGGCTGGGCGACTGCCTCAGCTCCTGACCTGGCCCTGCTCCCCGCAAGCCCAGCTGTGTACTTGACTGCCCCCTCTCTGCTCCACCAAGGGTTAGGTATTGGTCACAGGGATGCCGTGAGCTCGGGTTTTACACCCAGAGGGATGGGGGCAGGGTGAGGCAGCCACTCTCCCCCACAGGCTCCTGGTGGGGATACTGTCCCCAAACAGCGCCTCCACGCTCCTAAGCCTCCCCTGCCCCCTCAGTGGCTTCCCTGGGGCCCTCAGGTTGGGTCAGGATCCGGCTGCCCCGCCCACCGCCCTTCCAGATGCTGGCTGGGCAGGTGCCTGCTCAGGAGCCTGGGGGTGGGGTGAGTTCCAGGGTGAGGTCCTGGGGTGAGATCAAGCAAGGGAAGCGGCTGCTGGGGCAGATGTCACCTCCACCACCATCTCCGCCCAGCTCCCCAGTTCCTGGGCCTCTCCCAGGCCAGGACCCCTCCTCCCTTCTTCCATGGGCTGACACTTGCCAATCACGGCTCCGCACTTCTCGGGCGTCGAGGTCTGCAGAGCTGCCACCCGGCAGCCTTCTCACACTCCACCGAGAACTCAGCAGAGGCGCCTCCCCTCCCCGGGCCCTCCTGCCCTGGGGAAGGAGAGAAGGGGGCCCGCAGGACACCCTCTGATGGCTCCTTTAAGGAGCAGCCCCCGCCCCCACCAGGCCGGCCGCCGCCCCATGACGCCGTAAAGTTTGCTGGGCGGCAGGAGAGATCGGGTGACTGGGCAGGCAGCCGGGTGCTGGAGAAGGCAGCCAGGGTGGAATGGGTACAAGGAAAGGGCGGGTAGGGATGACACTGCCCAGCTGGGCCTGAGGGTAGGGGGGCTCCACGACCAGGCACTCAGGGTCACCCGGTGCCAGTCAAAGCAAAGGAGGAAGCACAAAAGGGACCACCCCCAACCTCAGCTCCAGCAGCCCCCTCAGCGGGCAGAGGCTCCAGGGCTCTAGTTCCCTACCTGTGCCCCACAGCTGGGGTGTCAGCGGAGAGTAATGGAGTTTAGCTGCTGCCTCAGTTCCCAGGGGCCACTGGGTGGGAGTGCTGGACGTCCGATGGACCCCCAGGACTGGCCCAGTCCTCCCTCACCAGTTGGACCATTTAGTGCTTCAGCTGCCTGGCCCACAGTCCTGTGATGACAGCCCAGCGGGAGGCAGGGGAGGGTGGACAGAGGCAGGCGCAGGTCCACGGCAAATCTCAGTTCAGCACTGTGGGGCGTGGATCCATCCCTGTATCCACAACTTGACCGGTACTCCTGCACCCCAGCCAGGAGGTGGGCACAGACCGTGCGAGCTCCCTGAATCAACCCCTCTTCCTAGGACAGACCCAGAGCCAGGTGCCTGAGGAAGGGTTTGGGGCAGGGCCTGGGGTCTCGTCCTCAGACGGCCCTGTGGACACACCCTCTTTGGACTGCAAGGGTCCCTCCTTGGAGAGGCCCTTGTTGCCAGTAGTCTAGGTGAAGGCACTGGAGCCTGAGGGCGGGCTGTGACCCCTCAGTCTCCCCAAAGGCACTCTCCTGCCGCCTCTCTGAGGCTGGGCAGCAGTTCCTCAGGGAGGACTGTCGGTGAGGTTGTGTGGGCACTTCCTGTGTGCACAGGTTTGTCTTTTTTTTCTTTTGTGCCAGGAATTGAACTCAGGACCTCGCGCTTGCTAGGCAGGCGCCGGTGTGCAGTTCTGTTGCCTATCCCCTGGGTGCTAGGGGAGACTCTTCTCCAAGTCCCTTCTTCCTACATTCCTGGGGACTGGCCTGACCGGCGGGAAGGTGGCAGTGGGGGCCAGCAAGAGGGGCAGGGGTGACGAGGAGGGGTGGGGTATGCATCCCTACACGAGCTCTTGGGCTTCCAGGATGCATCTTTGCCTACTCCTGGGCAACGCGGCCTGTCCCTTTGGGCCTGGGCAGCCTCTCCTTGCCCCATGCAAACAAACAAAATTCTTGGGCTGTTTTTCCACCGCAGCAGCCTTGGCTGCACAGCAAGTGTCTTTGAGGGCCCTGCCCACCCTCTGTGCGCCCTGTGCCCCGCTTCCCTCAGCTCTCCAGACCCAGGGTCCCAGGCTCTGCTGTGTTCCCCTTTCCTCCCAAACCCTTCGTTCACACTGGGAAGGTGGACCAGGATCTCTATCACCTTTCCCACAGCCTGGGACTCAATCCCCAGGCCTGGGTGCTACCTTCCCTCCTCCCTTGAACAAATAGGAGGTCCCAGGGGTGGGAGCTCCAGTTGTCTTTGCCCCCACGAGGCCTCCTTTCTGCCCCTTAGTCCCAGGTCCAGTGTGCCAGGCCGTGGAGCAGGACTCAGTGAATTTCCTGAAGCTTCCAAGGACTCTAGAGTCAGACAGCCTGGTAGACTCAGAAAACCAGGAGAGGCAGCTGGAGTCCCTAGCCTGCCTGTACCCCTGCCCTTTGGGCCACCCAGCCTCTTGGGCCCCAATTTTCACTGGCACATCCTTGGCACAGGCCTGCCTGGGTTCTGGCTCTGTTTGCCCATTGGTGGCACATCCCGCCAAGACTTTGGGTTTTCCCTCTGGAAATAACTGCACTGTGGTGCCAAGGCCCAGCACCTGCCTCCCCCCAGCCCCCAGCAGCGGGGCCACCGCTCTGCACCCTGTGGGACTCTGGGTGGCGTGGCTAGCGTAGGTCACACACCTGAAGAAGGCTGTAGAAATCCTGCCACTGGCCAGCTGAGCTGGCTGGGATCGGGCCTCACTGTTCACACCTGCTTTAGTAATCAGGGCTAGCGGCTCCTCCTCACAACCTTTCACAGCTGGCCACATGGACACTGGGTGGTACAACCCTGGGGACTTGGGCAGGGTGGGGAAGGCGGCTATGGAGGGCTCCAGCGTCACCTGGCCTACCTTCCCTGACGTCCTAATTCGTACCTGCCCTACTGTGACTCCTGGGAAAGGGTCAGCCAGAGCATTTCCCCCACCCACCCCCAGCCTGGTTCTAGCACTCCCAGGGTACCCTGGCCCACCTGCTTTGAAAGGTCAGCTCCTCCCCTCCTTGCCCGCATCCCTTGCTTTCGGAGGGCCTTGTCAGAGCAGGGGTGCAGGGGCTCGGGGAGGGGCTACCGAGAGCCCTGGCCTCTGGCAGTGGCCCTGCCCCCACCCGCTCCGCCCCTGCCCTCCCTCCGCCTCCTGCACATTCCTCCCAGACTGAGGTCAGCCCCTCTGGGATGGGGGAGCCCCCCCCACACCAGCCACATCACAGCTCTTCACTCACTCCTGTTTTCTTCATTGCCCAGCCGGGTGGGGTGAAGAGAAGGGGCAGGGGTGGGGCCTCCCTCTTCTCTCCAGAGCCTGGGTAGGGAGGTAGAGGGGCCGAGCAGGGACTGCTGCACAAGGGGCCGCGGTGGTACTGGTGCTAATGAGAGACGTTAACATAAACGCTACACTCCCTGAGGGGGTTAGCGGCCTCGCAGGACAGCGGCCGGCTGGAGCCTGTGAAGCTCCTTAGAGGCGCGCCGGGGCTGCACTGCGGCTGCCTAGGGACTGGCCGCCTTGGTGCTGCAGGTGAGGCCCGGCTGAGTCTGACACCTGCGGCTAGGCACCAGCACGGCCCTCACTGGACACAGAACCAAACCTCTCAGAGCACGCCTGAGCCCCCAGGGCCAAGCAGGTCTGGCGCAGGCACCGCAGGTGCTTTATCACCACCTCAGCGCTGGCTTCTCGGGCCAGCCCGGCCAACGCGCCTACTGCCTCCAGGGAAAGTTGCGGCTGCCCTGCCGCCCGGCCCTCCCTTTCTCTGGTCAGCGCCTCTCCTCCCCCATCTCTCTTCCCTTCCCCCGAGCACAACTACTTCTTCAACCTGGCCTGACCTTCTGACCCGGGCCCAGGGCTCCACCGGAGCATCTCCCTCCCTGGAGACGGCAGACGTCACTGCACGTCATCAACCCACTGGCAGTGCCCGAGCCCACTCCTCCTCAGGAGCCCTGGCTGGCTGACAGATCTTGTCCTGCTGAAGGTACTCTTCACCCTACCCCAGGCTACGTCCCGCGGGTCATCCTACCACTCCTCTCCCTTTGCGCCCTCTCTGTAGGCACTGCTCCCCTCTCTCCTGCCTCAGGTGGTAGGAGCTGGTGGGGGTGCAGGGTCCCATCCTGTCACTCACAGCGCCCTCCCCAGCTCAGCGCCAGGGGCTCCACAGAGCTCATGGGCTGCCTCCTTCGGGGCAGGCATCTGCTCTACAGGTGCCGAGACTTGACTTAGGCCGCGCTCTCCATCCCAAAGGTCCTTCCCCTAAACATCACCTGCTGGACTCTCCCTCCCATTCACTGCCAACCTCAGCGATCACCTTTCCTCTGTGAAGCCCCAGGCCCCAGTGCCAGATCCAAGCCTCAGGTTCCCCATCGCAGGGGGAGCAGCAGAAGCTGGCGTTCTTGGGGACCCCAGAACCCAGTGGAGGACAGGCACAGGGAGGCAGGCAGGAGAATCCCTGCAGAAAGCCCGTCCACTTCCCTGGGGCATGGGGTCTCAGGGGGCGTCTGATGGGGAAGGCACACCGCAGGTGCCCCCTTGGCCCTGCCCCAGGTGCCCAGAACTCAACTCCCCACTCCTGATGAAGTCAGAAAACAGCATCCGTGGCAGAAGATGCCAAAGTATGACTTTTCTCCCTACCAAGGTAACTTGGAATTCTGCATGTCCGGCAAGGAAAGAAACAGGCAAGGATGTCACCTTGCCCCTTCCTAATTCCGAGGGCACTTGGAGCCGGCTGGCCGTGCCACTGTCCAGGCAAGGAGGAGAACCCATGGCCTTCGCTTCTGTCCCCCTTGGCCCCTGGTGCCCACCCCGGTGTGCCTGAGAGCAGCAGCTGGCAGGCACACACACGCTTGCACACCGCCGCACCCCCCCAGCTGGCCGGCAGCCATTGCCCTGGGAGCCTGGTGCGCTGGTGCTGCCTCTTACTCTGAGAGGCTCAGAGGGTTGGGGGATACAAGTCCCGTGGCAGTGATAAGGGCCCTAGGGTTCCCTTAGGGCAACAGACACAGGACTTGGGGTCAGTGTTTTGGGATGGGTTGCGCCAGAATTCAGCCAAAAGATGCTGTAGTCCTGTCCTTGCCCTTCCCTTACTTCCAGGGTTACTGGACCTGGATGACCGTGCCACTGACCAGGCGGTTGCAGTCAGGGCTCTACGCTCCATCCTGTGGCTGGCTGGGGACTCTGGGTCTGAGGGTGTGCATGGAACAACTCTGAGACTAAGGGGAGTAGATTTTCTTGACATACGAAGCTATGAGTTTGCCCTGGAACGGGAAGAGGGTTCCTCTATCCTGTGGCAGCTCCTGCAGGACCAGAGGTCCCAGCTCAAACCCCGAGGAGGGCCCCTTCCCCATTCTGCACCCGGCCTCTGGGCCTCCACCCACCTGCTGGGCCTGGGGAACTGGGGGAGGGGCCGCCTGCCTACCTCCTTCCCGCGCAGGATATCCTAACCCTCTCCCTCCTTGGGCCTCGGACGCTTAGAGCTTGAGTCTCTCTCTTCCCAGCTGTCCCCCATCCCCCAAATGGGTTAAAAATACCAAGGCTGAAAAAAAAATACCCAGGCTGCCACCACATCAGTAGCTCAAGCAAGGGTTTCAAGCTGGCCAGGCCCTTTTGCAGGCGGCTGTACCTCGTGGCAGTCTCCGCAGGCTGGCGAGGCCCACCCATGCTGAGCACGGGGCCCTGGGTCTCCCCGGCCCGGCTCTGCGGGTGCTTACTACGTCCCCGGCCACACAGCTGCAGCTGCCCCCGCCGGGACAGGAAGACAGGCTTGGGCGGGAGCGGCCCGGGCACAGGACAGGGTCCTCCGCTGGCTCTCCTCGCCCAGCTGCCCCCAGGGAAGGAGGGAGGGCTGAGCACGGCCGGACAGCTCTCGGCAGTGGGGGATGCCCCCTCGTGGAGTCCATCCAACCGGGGTGCAGGGTACCTGGCGCCCCTCTTGCCCGCCGCCCCCCGTGGCAGGGAATTTCCCAGCTGCCAGAGACAAGGCTGACTTGAGAAGCCGCCCCCGCCCCTGCGGGACAATGGGGCCTTATGCCCTGGAAACCGGAGCTGGGGTAGGAGGGCGGAGGGCAGGTGGGGCCTCGCTGCGCGCGCCCCGCGAAGCGCCGCTGCCCGGACCCCGCCCGAGCCCACCGCCACGCC